TCCTCTGATATTTCTTTTGATCAAGGCATGGTTCACATGAACAGCTCTTTCTTGAGAAGAGCAGACTCTGTCAGTAACCAAGCCTTTTTTACAGGGCAGGGCACCTCCAATTCCAAACGGTTCACAAACTCTTTCTTGCAACTGTACATCTGTAAATATTCACATAATGTCCGTGACACCCTTAAACTGCACCTGTAACCCAGTCGCTTCAGGACCGAGTCGTACGGTGCGTTACTGACATGCTGTAGGTCCTCGGTGTTGACCGGTTGAATATCCGAGGTGCGGGCGAGGACTGTGCAGGTGAGGGGTCCCGGGTGCTGTGCCGTGCGGAGCCTGTCGCGCTCCGAGGGGTGCAGAGGGACCGGCGGGTGGGCGTGGGCACCAGCGCCGCACAGCCGCTCACCTGTTTCTCTGGCACTCCGCAGCTGCTGGCGCGGCGCGGGGAGGAGGAGCAGACCGTGGAGGCCCTCTGGCACTGGTCCTTCGCCCTGCAGGGCAAGGTGAGCGCGCCTGTCCCTCCTGCGACACCGCCGACAATCCGCCGCCTTCTCTCCGCGTGACTCACGGCGGCGGTGCGGCGGCCGTTGCAGGTGTTCGACGCCTGGCGGGGCTTCGTGCTGGACCGGCGCAGGAAGAGCGCTCGGCTGGGCCGTGCCGTCGAGGTCTACCGGCAGGAGCTGCTGCGCGAGGGCGTGGTCCGCATCCTGCGCCACACCGCCGACATGGCCCGCTTCCGGACTGCGCTGGCCGAGCAGAGCCAGACCCAGGTATGAGCGGAGTTTGACCAGACAGAACAGGCCCTCCCCTCACACAACCCCAGGTGAAGAACAGAGGCTCAGGCACCCTGGAAATGGATCACAAGCAAAAACCCAAGGAAGTGGGTTGGATACGTGTCCACAGCCCTGAGAAGGAGTAGTAATAGTAATAATTCCTCACACTTCTATAGCTCTTTTCTGGACACTCCACTCAAAGCGCTTTACAGGTAATGGGGATCCCCTCCACCAGCACCAGTGTGCAGCCCCACCTGGATATGTGACGGCAGCCATAGTGCACCAGTCCGCTCACCACACACCAGCTCTCAGTGGGGAGGAGAGCAGAGTGATGAAGCCAGTTCAGAGAGGGGGATTATTAGGAGGCCATGATTGGTAAAGGCCAGGGGGAAATTTAGCCAGGACACTGGGGTAACACCCCTACTCTTTTCAAGAAACACCCTGGGATTTTTAGTGACCACAGAGAGTCAGGACCTCAGTTTTACGTCTCATCCGAAGGACAGCGCAGTTTTACAGTACAGTGTCCCCGTCACTATACGGGGGCATTAGGACCCACACAGACTGCAGGGTGAGTGCCCCCTGCTGGCCCCACTAACACCTCTTCCAGGAGCTTCAGTGGGCTGCCAGCTGTGAGTTGGTGTGTTACAATGTGTAAATAAAGGTAAAGCAGATTCCGATTTATTGCTTCTTGATTTCAGGCTCTTAGGCTGCAACATATGTTACTTTGAAAAGGGTGTGTAGACTCTCTGTAGGCTCTGTGTATATTCATCTGGACCAGCGTCAGACGTGTTCAGGGCAGGCCAGGCCCGGGGTGGAGACGATCCGGAGGTGGGGGAGGTGACCGCAGTGTCTCTGTCCCCCCAGTCGGCCCTCAGGCTGCAGCGTCTGGTCCGCCGCTGTGCCATGCTGTGGAAGCGCCGGGCGCTGAGCCGGGGACGCGGGCAGAGGCCGCCACCCTCGAACCCTGAGCCACGCAGGAAGGCCGTGACCTTTCACCTCCCCGGCGGGGAGAAGGTGGGCGTGGGGCTGCTGTCCGACAGGAACAGGGCGAGCTGCGGGACCCCGGCGCTGCAGGACGGCGCCATGCCCGCGACAGCGGGGAGCACACCCAGCCTGCTGTGAGTGAGACTCCGGGGTGAGCTGGGGTACATCGGGGTGCCACTCCTGATGCAATAACTACGACATGTGTTGTGACTGCAGGCCGTCGGTCCGTGCGCCCCGACTGCAGCCCCGCAGACCAGACTACCTGCTCCCTGCGCCGGGCAGGGAAGGGCCCCGTCTCCCTGCAAGGGGCAGGTAAGGTGACCCCGGCTCGGAGAGACAGCACGCTCTCACTGTGTGAAGATGAGCACAGAGACGCATTGCGCCGGCCTGACAGCTGCTTCTCAATAACCCTGTTACTGAAAGTATGACAGTTTCGCTAGTTTGTGCGAGGGGGTACACGGGCCCCTGGAGACTGTGAGGGGGCCCCGTGTACAGTTCAGTTGTTACCCCAGTAATGAACCCTGAGTTTATTTCAGTCTCCTCTGTGCTCCAGTTCCAGTTGTTACCCCAGTGGTGAACCCTGAGTTTATTTCAGTCTCTCCTGTGCTCCAGTTCCTGCGCCCTACAGCCTCTGCCCTCTCCACCACGGTCCAAGCCCTCTGCCCACCAGGGGGCGCAGCAGGAAACCAGGATCCCCCCTCAATCTGCCCCACAGCCAGGTCCTCCTGCAGGGCTGGGGGTGTGGACAGCACCCCCCCCAGAGGTGGCGCTGTGCCCCCAGGAGCCACTGCTGCCCCCCTCCTCTTTCATGGGGCCTCAGGGCGTGAAGAGTCACACCCAGACAGCAAAGGTAAGACTCCTGAACGTCCTCCGTGCTGAGGTGGCACTGTAGCTCTGGTGCCGCCAGTACTGTCCCTGGGCAGCTGAGCTGTACTCTAGGTCTGCCGTTTTCTCACAGCACCGTGCATAACCATGAGCTGCTGGCCCGAGCGTATGCTTCAGGCCCTGCAGAGCACTCAAGGCCAGTCTGTGCCATTTACAGACAGAATCCGAGTGTTTCTGTGTCATGTTGTATGGCAGTGTGTCACTCCTACAGTACGGCTTCTGTTCTTTACACAGAGGGTGGTAGGAGTCTGGAACAAGATAGCTTCCATGTGCTTGAAGCTTCTTTCTGATAAAGGCTGGACAAGTTCCTTGGATCAATCAGAAACTCACTAGCACAAGAGTTACATGGGCTGGATGGCCTCTTCTTGCCTGTAACCATTCTTAGTTTCACTTTTTAATATGAAAAAACCTCCTCAACGTTTCACAGCGTGTCTTGCTGTAGATTCCAGACTATGGACTGGACCGGGCTGGACTGGTCCCAGGCAGGGTCCAGGCTGGGCCCAGCTAGACAGGAAGTGGTGGAGCTGCTGTCCCGCCTCCCTCACCAGTCCCTCTCTCTGCTTCATGTTGTCCAGCTGCCGAGGAGCCGTGAGGAGCCAGCGGCCTGGTACCATACGCCCCCCGCTGCCCTGCAGACCGGGGCCCCACACCGTCCCCACAGGGACCCCCAGGACCTCCTGCTGTTCTCCCCTGCTGCCTTCGCTGGCACTCGGACCCCAAGAAAGACAGGTAGCTCCACACCTGCCCGTCGGGTCAGAGTGGGTCTGTGTCGGGCCTGCACGCCGGGTCAGAGTGGGTCTGTGTCGGGTCAGAGTGGGTCTGTGT